ATGTGTGATAAGTTCTCATATAAACGAACGAAACGAATTAAGGACCATTCTTTTCGATCGTGCGGATCTTTTCATTGAAATACTACTGACATATTTAAAAAATCAAAGTCATGAAACTCGAAAATTCCATCACTACTCTATATATAGGTATTATACAATTTTCTATATAATTTAAGAGTAAATTATACAAGATATTTCATAACATGGCATTACTTTGGAAATGAATTCAGGACACAAGAAAAAAATAACTAAAGAGTTTGTATCGACACTTGTTCTAGTTGATCTTGTTTCCGAGTTACAAACATTTCCGAAACACGGAAGTTAATGTAAGCCCGTCATGAAACTTTTAATCAAATTGAAATAATAGTGCGTAAAAATTTTTTGCGAGGAAAGAAATAACATCTTCGACGTTGACGTAACGAATATGACTTTTGATATGACAGTATAAAATAAAGAATAATATAAAAAACTAAAATAGTTTTAGTTTATCATATAATATTATTGTTCGTTAATTTGACTATTTTTATTATTATATTCTGCTATTAATAATACGAATATAATTTGTTAATTATTTAATTTTTTAAGAAGAATTATTGATAATTGAATTAGTTATTTTTATTGCTACAATTTCTAAAAATTTTATTTTAAGAAGAATTATTGATAATTGAATTAGTTATTTTTATTGCTACAATTTCTAAAAATATCATTATTATGATTTTTACTAAAAAAATTGTATCTTAAAAAAGAGAATCTTCCATTTTTGTTTTATATTTATCCCGCATATTTTAATAAATTAAGTCGAAACTATTCATCGACAATTATCGTTGACCTACACTCCTACGACTCCTGGTAGTTCGCCAAAAAAGTCCTTGCGTACAACACTCTTATAGTACACCAGGCAAGGCATGGACGGTCTGAAAGGCGTAGGACCCTCTTGCCGGTACACCTTTTCGATCTCGTCGGCGTCGTAGACAAAAAGCAGATCGGGGCGGCCTATCAGACCACTTAGCCGCACTATTTTGCCATACTCTTCGTAGAACATCTGCGAGATCTTTCCGACATCCGAGATTTGATACTGGCCGATCAGCGGCAATAGTCGCCAGGCATTGCCTAAGATTGGGATCGGTTGCGGACCCGGTATTTCGTCGTACGGTCTAACAGACAAGGACGCGAGTTCCGAGGATGACGAAGCATGAGGACATGCGGATGTGATCGTATCGCTGCAGAAAGTCCGAAGAACGATCCTCTGAAGGAAAGGCTCGCAGGATTGCGATAAGCGATGTCGCGTCTCGCAATTTCGTAGTAGCGATTTCATTCTGTAATCCCATTACCACCTTTCTTTAATCCTCCAAAGTATGTATCAATATTTCTAACATTAAAGTAAAATTGCGAAGCGTAATATCAGTGAAAAAACGTAAATTATAACGTAAATTATAAAAAATACTTAATTGTTATTGTGAATAATTATATTATTATTTCATTAGTTAATTGTTTGTTTTATTTTACACTACGTTTTTGTACGTAAATGAGCTGCAGCTGTTGCCATCATTATACCATCATTGCGCGTTACAATGCCGCAATCTTTCCCAAATGTCTAAATCTTTTTGTCCACACGTTACTTACTTTCACTGACCAGGATAGTGATCATGCAACTTTTTCCCTGAGGCGAAAACGTGAAAAGAGAACATTTTTTTATATGTGTGATACGTACATAAAAATGTCACTTCTCACATTTCCATTTTAGGGAAACAGTTACATGATCCCTACCAGATCGGAGTATAACAATTTAACTACAACTCTCATTTTCTCTTTCTTAGAAAATCACTTTGCTACAAGAAAGAGTAAGAAATCGAGAAGAAATTTGTTACTATAAAAGGGATATATTGATATCTAAATATCACATAAATATTTTGAATAAGATACATACTCGTGTATTTTTACTCTTTAAAGCATAAGTATGTTTATCCGAAAATAATATCCGCTAAAAAGAATCAATACAATTATTATAGAAGTATAATATGCACGTGACGGATGACCCAAAAAATTGCAATGGGAAAGCGTAAATATTCGGAGCATCAGCTGCAGTAGGTGACTTAGAAATTTTACTCGAAAACAATTCATTTGTAAAGATTTAATTAAAATTTAAATTATCACACATTAAAGAAAATTAAGAATATACATCAAATGTACATAGACGAGATTAAATTAAACAAGCGCAAAAGATACGCGCAAAAAAGATTTTCCTTAGGTCGCTCAGAGAATAATCTCATTTACTTATTATCACTTCATAATAATTTAAAAGACGATTTGTCAATTATGCTAAGATATTAAATTTCTAACATATTGTAATATAAAGTACAATTAATTTAAGAAAATTGTGGAAAGCTGTTCGAACTCTTTCAGTAAGCACTCACTTTCACGCATTGAAATCGCTTCGTCCGAAAAGGAAACGGTCTTTTTTCACTATCAACGAATTTCGTAGAACATCCGCGATTACATTCCAATAATATTGCCGCAATTGATTGTAATTAATACCCGTATTTTTCATGAACGTACCTTGTTATATTTAAAAACAACATTGTTCAAATCTGTTCTTTACAGAGCGACTCTAAAATTTTCGGTGACCCACTCATACACGCGCGTACAATATCGTGACGAAGACGAAGAATGGAAGACTTGGTAACGTTATACCTTACAGATGCACCGTTACTGAAAACGATGAGCACCGTGAGCGAAGAAGGTTGCGGGAAGCAATCTGTGAATGGCCCCCACTAAAGAATACTCCCCCTCTAGAGGAGAGAGCATAAAATGACCCGAATTTTAAATGAATTTAAGCTAACTCACAATCTGTTTCAGCTAACTCACAATCTATCTTCAATTGGGCCTAACTGGATTATCATACTAATTTTCTTTCAACATTCCTTTTCCAATCAAAAGGAAAATATTAATAGAAAAAATTTTTAGCTTCGCAACAAAAAAAAAATTAATAAAAAATATCAATGTATGCTCATTTGATCGCATTTTTAAAAACGTACCAATAGATGGCCCACTCTGTAAAAACGTACCAATAGATGGCCCACCCTGTATCTTATTATTTGAAACATCTTTGTCAAGTAATTAACGCATGTGATACAATATTATATCAATTATACCTTAATTGATCTTGAAAAAAACAGTTACAATAAAAAATATATAATTTATAAAATTAATATAATAAAAATAGGGCTACGAGCCAAGCAAGGTCTTCATGCTAAGTTATTGTAAAAACAAATAGTTATTATTATAACATACGTTTCGACTCCAATTGGGTCATTATCAATGTTAATCTTAATAACAATATAAAAATTACATATTCATTTGAAAAACAATTTTAAACAAGATGTTCAACACAACTTAAAAAGAATGTAAAAGTTTCTCATCGATTGTGTAAGTGTCCCTATAATCATTTTAGACGGTTGTGAGAATTGCTCAATATCAAAACGTGAAAACGCAGAAATAGCCTTATTCGGTGTATGAACATGACAATGTAAATGAATAACAAACGCTTGATGGTCGTCAACAGTTCTTGTAACATGACCATTAAAAAGCACAGTCTTAAAAGTTTGGAATTACAATAAATGATAAACCAGTACAATAAATCAGTGTTAAATCTAAAATCGTAATTACAAACGACCTAATGAATAATAATTTAACAAACATAAAAATAAATGTATATCACGAAATACAGTAATTTATAAAATTATAAAACACATATCTTCGAAATTATGAAGAACCAGTTATAGAAATGACGTTTATAAACTTGTAAGTCTAATAATATAATCATGATAAAATCATTTATTTATCATTTATTGTAATTCCAAATTTATGAGACTGCGTTTTTTAATGATCATGTTACAAGAGCGACGTTGACGACCACCAAGCGTTTGTTATTCATTTACATTGTCATGTTCATACACCGAGTAAGGCTATTTCTGCGTTTTCACATTTCGATATTGAGCAATTCTCACAACCATCTAAAACGGTACTTACACAATTGATGAAACATTTATATTCTTTTTAAGTTGTGTTGAATGTCTTATTTAAGATTGTTTTTCAAATGAGTATGTAATTTTTATGTTGTTATTAAGGTTAACATTGATAATGACCCAACTGAGGTCGAAATGTATGTTATAATTAACTATTTGTTTTTATAATTTAATGTGAAGACCTTGCTTGGCTCGTAGCCCTATTTCTATTATGTATATTAATTTTATAAATTATTTGAGCCTTAGTTCCTATATTATTTTTAAATACATAATTAATATAAAATGTGTAAATATTTGTAGATAATTAAAATATCTTTTAACTACAATGTAGTCATAAATAAAGTACAAAATAAAACTGAAAAGTAAGGTAAAATATGACTATAATAAAATATGTGCTTGTAATTATGAAAATAATCGAAGTAAAATCCAGACAACAAAAAGTGTCTAAAATCAGGTCATAAGACGTTTTGTGCGTCTAAAAGACGACTTAAAGAAGTCTTACCCAGTGAGAAATGACAGTGAAATCGACGTCAATTCTAGTATCATTTTTCACTGATTATGTCATAATTTTAGACTTTGTCTTGTTTGGAAAAAAATCTTAAAAAATTGAAATTTGTAGTTTATTTCATGTACTATCAATTTAAATTATAATAATCCAAAATCATGTTTAAAAAATTCTGAAGTCTTTTATGTAACAATGATAGATTTTACAATAAAATTTAACTTACGCTTATTTTAACAGTAAGTCGCTTGTATGTTGGAAATTTTTAATTTGTAAAAAAGAATACTGTTTTATCTGATAAATTCACATAAATTTTTTTAAATAATAAAATAAAGTACTATCAAGCGACGCCAAGTGCATAATAATATAAAATGAACCGCTTGAACGCTTGCCGTGTGAACGTCATTACGAGGGTTGTCTGAAAAGTTTTCGACCTAACAAAGAAACAAGACATTTTTTCTTCAAATTTATTTTTATTTTTCTACATAGTCTCCTTGTAAGTCTATACACTTCTCCCAGCGATGCTCCCATCTCTTCAACCCGTCCAAATAGTACTTGGCGTCTTTCTCTACAAAATAGTTGTTTACGAAGGTGATGGCCTCCTCATTTGACGAAAATCTCTGTCCTCCGAGCGCAACTTTTAGCTTAGGGAACAAAAAAAGTCGCTTGGAGCTAGATCTGGTGAGTAAGGAGGGTGGTTAAGCAGTTCAAACCGTAATTCGTAGATTTTCGCCATGGCAACCGCTGAGGTGTGAGACGGCGCATTGTCTTGGTGAAACAAAATTTTTTTTCCGCAAATGTGACTGTTTTACCGCAATTTCTGCCTTCAACTTGTCGAGTAATGATGCGTAGTATGCTCCTGTAATGGTTTTTCCTTTTTCAAGATAATCGATTAAGGCTCAGTTCCACAACTCACGGTTAATTCTTAACCGAAGTTCAATTTGTTTCTCATCTTGAATTGGAAAGAGACAATGAATAAGTTGAACCTCGGTTAAGAGTTAACTGTGAGTTGTGGAACTGGGCCTAAGACAACTCCATGACTATCCCAGTCGCCATCACTTTCCCAGCCGAAGAAACAGGCCTTTGCCTTTTTTGGAGCCAATTCCCCTTTCGCAGTCCACTGTTTTGACTGTGTTTTTGTTTCTGGAGTATAATGGTGTATCCAAGTTTCATCTACAGTAATTAAACAGCGCCAAAACTCTGATTTATTGCGCCTAAACTGCGCCAACAGAGCGTTGGAAATGTTCAAACACGTTTTTGGTCCGGAATGAGCAAACGCGACACCCAACGCGCGGTCAGCTTTCTCATACCTAAATCTTGATTCAATATGTGAGAAACACGTTCTTTAGACATGTTCACAGCCTCTGCTATCTCTCTAACTTTAATTCGACGGTTGTCTAGCACCATTTGGTGAACTTGAGCGATGTTATCGTCAGTGGTTGCAGTTTTTGGCCATCCCAAACGTTCATCGTCACCCAAGTTGGTACGGCTACGTTTAAATTCAGCTGCCCAAAATTTCACGGTGACAAATGATGGTGCAGAGTCCCCGTACCCAGCGTCCAACTCGTCTTTAATTTGAGTAGGCGTATTGCCTTTCAAAAATAAATATTTAATAACAGCTCAATACTCGATTTTTTCCATTTTCACAAAAACACTCACATCGATTCATTCAAATGATTGTCGAACAATTGCGCGTTCAAAATGGCTGAAATTTTGGTGAGTACCTTTCAAAGCATGCGCAAACACATTTCCCAACTTTTATTGACGAGTGCTGTCATCTTCATGTTGAGGTCGGAAACTTTTCAGACAATCCTCGTATGTACGTGTTCGTACCGTTGACATGTCGCATGCTCCAACATACTCCTACTTCCTCCAACTGTAGCTTCTACTCACTCTAACGAGCGCGTTTGAGTGAGTAGAAGCTACAGTTGGAGGAAGTAGGAGTATGTTGGAGTATGCGACATGCGACGCGAACAAACCTTAAGTAATGTATCAAATGTGGTCGACAATAATGAGAGAGAGAGGGACCGTGGGAGACGGCCAATCTCCATCTCATTCTCTCTCCCATTACACCATTGAATGGAAAGAGATAGAAATGGCCGTCTGCCACCGTCCCGCTCTCTTATCTCTATCGACCATTTTGACGCACGGATCGCGTAGTCCATTCGCTATTTCTTTGGTATCTATGGACAACGTGCTCCGTATTGACCTCCGGTCCACTCCGATCACCTCCGAATTAGTTGATCAGTATAAAGGGAGCAAGTGAAATTGAAATAAGAAGAAAGAGACCTTCAGAGTCAGAGGCCCTGGATCGGAGCAGAGCTCGGAGGTAAAAGATGCTGGACGATGTATCCCATTGCTCCGGACGTTTCTTACGTCTTATCGGAACGTGAGGATATCAACTCGATCCTGTACCAACCGATTAATTCGACGCAGCGAATAAAGGTACAGTATGACAGATGACATGGAAAGATGTTTCCACATGTAATGTACCAAAACGTGAGGTTAACCCAAACGGTAGGCATACAATGCATCTGTCATTCTTGTCGTATTATATCATGTAACTTGCCTCAAGTCAGTCGACTCTTAAAATAATGAAGATAATTTTAATAATTAATCTTTCTAATGAACGACTACTAATAGAACACCTTTCTAATGAATGACAGAATGATGTGAAATAAGTTGCTTTAAACACTTGAGCGTTCAAATCGAATGCAGCTTTGGTCATATGTACGATTGGTACTTAAATTTGCAGCAAGAGACAAGTATAGTCAGTGATCATTTCATTTTTATTTAACATTGGCAAACAACAAGGATGTAATGATTCGCTATGTTATACTACTGAGTCTGTTTTTTGTGTCTAAACTAGTATACCCTTTTGCAACTTAAAATGTGATAAATATATTTAATATTTGGCGAAAGCAATAAGAGAGAAAATTCTAGTACAGTCTAGCGTAGGAATAAAAAAACAGACCTGCTGTGAGTACAATCTACTTAACGTTACAAATGCTTAGTTGATTAACTAGAAAAAAATTTTGCAAATTGACCAATTAAAGGCATTCTCCAGGAACACAGTGTAATAAAATGAATTATTTCATTCTTGTTTAACATTAGCAAATAATAAGAATGTAACGATTCATTGTGTTATTGTGCTCTTGTTGGAAAACACTTATAAGTATTGTTATTTATTGTTATTATTCATAAAATGGTTGTGTAACTTTTTACTTTCAAGCTACATTTGTAGCAACAAATGTTCTCTCTGTCAATAAGATAGATGAAATGCCAAGATCTGTTTTATCTTTTTAAGTTTTTGATTTTATAATGTAAGTTTAAATATATGTAATAATATCTTAAATTTTATAAAATTGCAGTACACATGTTTCAACGCTTCACCAAGTTACATCATACTAGGCTCAAGCAGTGGCAGCGTTTACTTGTTTTCAAGAGAGCCATGTTTATTTCTTCAAATAATACCTCTCTCGGTAAATGACGTTTTAGTATAAGTTTAAGTCAATGATGATTACTAAATAGATGATATATTGTGATTATTGAATTTACGTATAATTGATTTATTAATGTTATTTTTATCTTCCATTAGGAAGGTGTGGTTTCACGTGTAGCGATATCACCTGACGAAAAAACTGTAGCCTTAGCAACAACTCGCGGTACTGTCTGTCTAGTATCTCTGAAATCCACTCCGCAATTGATATCAGTATCAACGGAGCATATATATAAACAAATTACTTGTATCTGTTGGAATAATAATAGTACCGAGTTGTATGTAGGAGATGCAATTGGCAGGATTTCTGTCATGGTGTTATCCATATTTACGGTAAGTTTATAACAGAACAAATTGAATATTAACAAGATTAATATTTATTTCAATTAAACAGTTAAATATAATAGACTAAAATTAAATAAAATTATATATAATATAATAATGCATATTCTTTAAATAAAGAGAGTTGTTCTGTAATTGGTCGTTCAACTGGATGATTCTGATATGAAAAAATAAGTTGAAAACGTAAAATAAAATTTTTTATTCTTATGAAAATAGTTATGAAAGTTTTAATGAATTTTTATCATATCATAGAAGATTTTATTTATTGTTTACAGATTTAAGATTATCTACTTGAAATTAATATAATTAAAAAATTTTATGTACCTTTGAAGTTAAACATTATTGATGAAGGAATATGATTTAATTTATACATTTATACAATATTATATTTATGTATATTTTGTATTTATATATTATATATTTATATATATCAATTAATATATTATTCATTGATCTATCTTCTTTTTTACAATCAGGTTAATGGAATGTTTCAAACTCCAATATGCACACTGATGAGTCTGGATTCTAGCATCGTACAATTAAACTTTCATTCGCCTTTGTTATTGGTTTCCACGTTAGCACGTAGTTATGTCTGCGACACAGTGCAAGAGCAGTACAAACAGATTGGCAATAAGCCGCGTAATGGCGAGTTCGGCGCATGTTTTTACACGCACGAGAATAACACTTTAAAAGCACAGAGAGAAGAAAGGAACACCAACAACATACGGGGCGCGTTTAATTTGATCTCCGATAACGATATCAATATTCTGGGCGAGAATCAGTCAAAGATATTTTGCGCTCGGCCTGGTTCGAGATTATGGGAGGTGTCGGCTGATGGAATTGTTGTGAAGACGCATCAATTCAAAGAAGCTTTGGCAATTCCTCCGACAGTAATATTTCGATCAAATAGTACCTTAGAATCTAGTCAGAAGAAGGAGACAGAGTGCGAATGGCCGCCGCAGTCTGTCAACTTCTCGCACTTGTTCGTACTTGCGCGCAAGTATTTATTTTCTTATACAACCAGCGGCCTATATGTTATCGATCCGACGAATGCAAGCATGCTGTTGTGGAGCAACGAGTACACGAACATCAGCATGACGGCGATCGTGGACAATCAGATCTACTTGATGACCTGTGATAGCAAATTTCATTGTATAGCGTTATCGTCACTCGACAGTCTAATACTATGGCTGTATTGCCGCGAGCGATACAGCGAGTGTTTAAACGCGTGTTTTGTATATAAGTCGCAATTATTGAAAACAATCGGCACTAAGGAAATTGTTGAATTGTTCAAAGTAGAAAATCTGCCGCAAGATAAGAAAGAGCTACTGCGACCATTAATAACGCTTCTGCAAACTAGTGATAATAATAGACCAGCTAAATTAAACTCCGGCATCGTAGTCGTGCATTCCGAAAACAATAAGTTCGTTAATAAAAAAACTTACGGCTGTGAAATGACGCCTTCGTCGCAGTCTCCTGAAATCTCCAGCGATGATTCGTTTGAGATGCAAATAGAATCTGGAAAAGATCGGAAAGAAAATCTCGCTCAAGAAAATATCCTCGGAACTGTTTCAGGGAACATATTTGATTCGGATTACAATGGAGAAATGTTAGATATTAAAGAGGATGGTCATCAGAAGCCGGATTTTCAAGAAAACGTTACACATAGGATTCAATCCGATTTGCACTCGATTTACGAGCTGGCGAACAGTTTCAGACCTAATATGTTGGAGGAAGAAATCGAGGAAATTATTTTGGAGACAGATAAAAAGATGAGAACTATCAAAGATTCCTATCGAGACTCGCCTGGGCTTCAGAGTTTTATCTATGAAGTTACTCGCGCCGCGGAATTGCATTATTATAATATGTTTCTGGAAAACACCTCCATGCAGTTGATCGACTCCAGCAACAGCAATTCCATCGTGCGGCATTTCGCAAGAGCCTTCATCGAAATCAACGCGCCGGCTTACTTCCGATGTAGTTGTGGTTACCCTTATCCGATGGATAAAACCGTAGAGCCGAAGTTTCTGGCGATCGGCGAATCATTGTTTAAGAGATATGCAGACGATCTACCGAAAGAGTGTAGCAATATTTGTGACAAGGTACCTTATATGTGGCGTGTGTATCTGCCCATCCGCATCGAGCAACATAGTACATTGGACGACTTATTGAGACAATGTCTTCAGACCAGAGACAATGTCGTGTTATCGTTTCTTCTACCGGCGTTAAATGAGCAACAGTGGAATTGCGTAAGTACGTGTCTGAGCGAAATCGAAGACAGTACTTGCCTCTTTTGCGCGACACCTTTGGCAAAGAAATCCAATTATGACGTACTGATAGATTGGAGTGGGATTGTCAAAGAAATTATGAAAAGAGAGGGACCAGACGAGGCCACGGCGTTTCTGATTAAGCTGGAGGATATGATACCAGACATTGATTTAGACAAAAGGTATTGAAAAATCTTCAAAAAGAGAGAATATCTATATTCCTTTCTTCACAGAGTAATGTGATAGCATGATGTATGTATAGACAATGTCAATAAAATTTTATTATATATACACAATTTACATGCACGCACGCATATATGTTTTTTAAATTTAAACAGCCAATTTCTGGAAATCATGAGATTTTAGAGAAAAATAATTCAGGTAAAAGCTATATGATTCGAAGGGAGATATAAGAGAGAGTAAAAAAAAATCTTATTATTGATATAAGAAAGTATTGATTTGACATTCGGTGATGCTATCCTGGTCAGGTCGAGATCACTTTGAGTTTTTTAAATGGAACCCTCCCATTTTTCATTGCATATTTTTGTAATTTATTTCAAAGCTTTTCTGACCGATTGAATGATTCAATATAAACTATTAAATCTAATACACCCTTACTTTGATTTACCTTGACATCCAAGGTCAAATTAATGTGGTACCATTTAATGTCCCCTTCGAAATCACAAAACTTTTGTCTAAAATATTATTTTACTTAACGCGTGTTTCTAAGATATTTAATGGATCCTTTAAAATGGGATATTCTATATATGTGTATCTAAAAAATCATTTTGTTGATTTAGTATTATAGAAGAATATTAATTTGTTTGTGACGTTAAATTTGTCATTTGTAAACAATTTTTTATTATCAAAAGAAAAAAATTCTATGGAAAAGAAACATAATATTCGATATTTTTTTATTATTAATAGAACTTCGATTGCCATTAAATTGCCATTATCTATAAGATTATTAATTTTTTGTTCGTCATTCTAGCTATAAATTGTAGAAGAATATAGAATACAATGCGCTATGTAAAATTATTAGTATCTTTGGCCTGTTGCAAAATTTTTAACTGTTACATAAATAAATAAAATAATAAGCCAAAATAAAATTTATACACGCATAAACGATTTAATCAAAGTAATATACAATCATAATCACAAGCGTCCTGTAAAAAAATTAAATTAAGTTCGAAAAATAATATATTGATATTAATATTTTATTTTTATTATAGTATATTCCAGTCGATCGTGTTTACAAAAATGCTGCGTCGCCGAGGTCTGAAGAAATCGATTGATTTCAGTAAAACTAACCAATTATCATCGAAATTTGGTACAATTTGCTCACCACAGGTAATTTCATTGCTATCTCTATCATAAAATAACAAAATATCCAAACTACATCAATCTAAAGCTGAAAATGTTTTAGATTTTTGTTTTCTACTGGTATATACATAGTAAATCACACAATTCAATTATCTTCATTTTCTTCCTTTGTTTTGTTACAAAGAGATTGCTAATAAAAAACACGCTATAATAATTCCATTAATTTTTTTTAATCGAATAATTTCATATAAAAGGAATTAAGATTTCTGCAACTAAACTCTTGCAAGAAATGTTAACAATAAAAATAGTCGAGTTATATGATTCTTTAATTTAAACGTCTTTCTTTTTCCCTCAAAGGGATCAATCATGTAACTTTTTCTGTAGGATAGAAAAAACGTGAAAAGTGATGTTTTTTATGCATACGTAAAAATTTTCACTTTTAAAGAAAAAATTACACAATCGATACTTATAAAAATGTGAATGTAGAGAGATAGAAAATATTTTTTAAGACGAACAGTATTAAATGATCAGTTATTAATAATATTATTTTTTTGTTGTCACAGATACGTGATCAGTTGACCAAAGTTCTCGAGAAAGATTTAAGACGATCGATAGATAAAAACGTGTTTGGAACAGGCGCTCATCATTGGGGTATGCGTCATCAGATTAAATCATTGACGTGCCCATGCTGTACGTTGTCTTTACAGACACCAATTTTACTAGGTACCAATGGAGTCGCGATCTTTCGTTGCGGCCACGCTTATCACGTAAATTGTATGATAGAAAGAAAGCTCACTAGATGTAATCTTCATCAGTAAATGTTGTAAATAAGAATTAAATGAAGAAGTTACATGTACCGTGTACACATTTCTCTTGAAATAAAGCTCTCTTCAGACGTACTTGAATTTATTATTTATTACCTATCTAATAAAGATCTTTTTCTATCGTCACAAATATTTGAATTTATTATCTCAGTACATTCGTTATCACAGTTGTAAGTTGAACAATACAGAAGAACATCATAAATTAAAAAGCAGAACAAAATCGCTATATAATACAAATATCATCGTATCATCTCTACAGAGCATACATTTTTCAAATTTACTGTTTTTATTCAAAATGTATCACTTTTATAAGATCATTATGAAATAATTATGTTATCGTTAATCATAACAGCAATAATTAATTGTAGATTATTATGTACAGAGTTTTAGACATGCGTGTATAGTAAATAAAATATTCTCGCACGCCGCTTATTGAGTTTTTCTTTTTGCAAGAAATCAGGGAAAGAATATATATCTAGATTTACATGAGTCATCTTATCACTTACCTTATTTGACGTTAAATACACACGCATATATCGTGTAAATGTAACTTCATGCGTGGCTATATTATTATACATATTTGGCATTTCTAATTCTTGTTATGGTTTTGCAAACTATTCTTTAGGAAAGTAAAAACTCAAAAGCTATAAAATCATTTGAGATCAGATACATTAAACTGAGATTTAACATAATGCATATGTTGACATTATTGTAATACATGTTGTACATACTTTTATAGTATTAGATTTGTAAGCTCACAGCAAGATCTTTATGTAAATACTTAAATATCGATTGTATGTATATTCTTATCAATAAATAAATCCATATAAAAATCGTTTACACAAATCTAGACGATTCTGTCATTATTTTTATAAACACGTTGTGCAATCGTAATGCATAGCACCGAACTTTTTTTTTTTTTTTTTTGAGAAAAGCAAAAACTATTCTATGGAATTGTTAAGTTCAGAAAAATATTTACTAATAAAAAATTTTCGCATAAATGTATATCGATGTATATCACAGTTCAAATAACAATAGAATGTATAAAATTTTACTTTGTGATTTCCTATGATAATGTGACTAGATAATCTTCGTTATACCTAACTTTTTACAAAATTTATCTATATATTTTGTATATGATTATTTAAAAAAGTATAAAAAAGTTAACAGATACAGATATTAAATTTTAAAATTCCCTACAATATATCAATATACAGAATATTTAGCTATGGCATAACACGGTTTTGAACATTATGAATTTTTGAGCAAAATATTGAGTTACTGAGTACATTAAGTTATTCATTAACGGACGTTTCATTTTCTTTCTTAATGAATATCGTAAAAGTGCCATAATTTGTTAAACTTGCGTTAAACGTAAGTGTTTATCTTTGCATAATCCGAATAAAATACTTCATTACAATAAATCGCATATTAATATACCACTATTTCTTATGTTTCTTATAAATTTTATAATAATTGGAAGCAGAAAATTTCTCTTCGGATAGACAATTTGTTAGTTTTGCTTCCATTCTTGCAGACTCGCGCAACGCTTATCATTTTTAACATTAATCAAATACTGAAATTTTCATAAAATGAAGCACTATTCTTTGAGTATTGATGGCGGAGAAAACTTTGACAAATATTTCTAGTGAAGCCCATTTTAGATGATCCATAATTCAGGATGAAAACTTATTTATAAATTATTTTAACTATCGTGTAATATATGGAAAATATTTGAAGAATCTCAGAAAAACATACACACATAAAATGTATATGTGTGTGTTAAAATATATTTCAAAACATAGATAAATAATAAATAAATTATATATAAAATGTTATTCTGAAATCTGATGTGAATTACAGATCTTCTGAGAGGAGCTTATAATCTTATTGATAAATTTTTCTCCTAATAATTTTATTAATAAACAATTACTGCGAGATCGAATTATATAAAGAGAAAACACTTTGTATAAATAGTATTAACATCATTGCTTTCCGCTGTGCAAATGTTTTATATGAAATTATTTTAACAATTGTGTATACAATAGATTTTACGATAAAATTGAAATAAAAAGATAACACGTACAATAATATTTGATAGAATTTTAGTAACATATGCACAGTGGACAACACGTTAATGTAATTCGTGAAATATCAAATCATGTTTTACATCAAAACGTTTACAAATACAACCTCTCCTCTTGTTTTTCTTTTATAGAGAATATCATAAAGATAAATGGAAGTGTCTATTTTTCACGAAAAAAATGCATATTCGTATTGTACGCAAAAATAATACACTTAAAATTAAAATTAAATATAATTAAACGTAGAGTTTCATTCGGTTGTTACACTTACCCAATTACGTCCATACATATCGCTCCCAGGAAAATTTTATTCGCGTCGTTCTCAAACGAGAGCGACTATTCTATTACGCAAATAAAATGCTACGTGAAATCAAAGGTATAACAAATAATCGCAATAATGACTTATAGTATGTCGACGGAATGGTTGCGGTTTCTGAGTCTGTTGAGTAAACAGCTCATTCTCTTTCGAGGTAATGTGCACTTAGCAAACAAAGTTTGAGAGTAAAAATTGCTAAATATACATAGGAATAAATTATACAGACAATTATACTTGCAATCGCACGAAACCATGCGCAAAACATCAATAATAGAATATTTTAATGAAGCTATCGATAATTTATACAATTTATTTTAGTAACATATATACTCCTGAAATTACTTCTATGGCAACGTCAGAAAGACTATCTCTTAATCTTTTAGACAGAACGATTTTAGAATAGGAATATGTGCGCGATATTTCAAACGATATTTCGATATCTGTAAAACATCTGTCACATTATAATTATGTAATGCTTTTCTCAGGTAATACTATATTATTGAAGTGTCTGCAATAATACTGCATATGAGAATGGCTTCATATTTTTACTTATATTTTTATTAATAAAAAATGCTATGATCGAAATATTTTTGAATTTAAAGACAATGGAATTTCATTAAAAGAGCACGCACTTTAAAATTCAATACTAATTTATCACAATATTCTCGAATGTGATTCAGTCAAGAAAAATACTAAGCAATAATTCTGCTTTAGTAACATTTAAGTAGCATGCCAAAAATATTATATAAATAAAAATATTTTGTCATAGTATTTGAAAAGCTCTCGAGATAAACTATGAGAATATACTAAAAAAAGGGTATTTCATGTAAAAAATTCGAAGTGACTTTGATCTGACCTTGGCGGCATTATCTAAGATCAAACCAATAGTATCTTCTTATGTGTCCCCCTTCGAACCTTACAACTTTTGTTTGTTTTTCTGTATCTTTCATATTTTCGAGATTTTGCTTGGGGCAATTAAAATAGGACACCCTGTACGCGTGTGTGTAACACACCCATACACTGTTAAATCTATAAAGTATAAAACTTAACTTAATTTAAATCGCCACTGCTCCAGTTACCAAATATATCGTTATTTTATATTAAAACAATAGTTAAAGTTGACATTGTATCGTCAATTTGACTGTATAATATCAAATATAACCATTATTTTAGTATAAAATGACGATATATTGAGTAGGAACAGTGGCAACCTATATTAGGTTAAATTTAACATTGTAGATTTAGAACAGTGTATAGCCAAATAATGCTAGCAGTATGTCTGCTAGTTGCCAAAATTTGTTTCTATTTGCTATGGTCTTTTTAAGCTTCGTTTCTGCCATTACAACTTGCCAGCCATAAATAATATAACAGAAATGCAGCAGGAATGAAGCATACTTTCTCATCAAGATATCATAATGAAAGATCTGCTCGTTTTCTGCTACTGGATATTAGAAAAATAACAGAATGTGCTCGGCTGTTGCTGGCGTTCTATTAATTACTAACATACTTTGCAATATATATGGTCTGTTTTTTATTTCTGCACTGGACTACACTAACTCATTTTAGCCAAATATTACATATACACCTATTTAAGTTCCAAAACATCAGTTCAGCTATAAAAAACAGACACACACATATATATATATATATATATATTCTTGGCAGGTTTAGCTACCTAAGTACATATAAAATAGTTAAAAGATTTCTTGAGTGTCAAACTTTGACATAAATAAAATTAAAATATTGAATACGCATAAAATCGTGTAGAAATGACTTGTCTTAAAAGAGTTTTTTTTTTTAAGAGTATCAGTGGATAGTAGATCATAACACGTTAAACGTATATATCATCAATAAGGAATTTCAACAAAGTTGTGAGTTTATCAAGATTACGTGGACTAATTCGTTTTCTTAATTTATAGCAGGAATGTTTGAACATCATGCTGTTGAAAATATACACGTTTCTTTAACATGTATATATTTCTTTCTTAAGATTCATTTCTTATATTCATAAAAGAAGAGAAAGAGATAGAAAGTCGATACCGCAAAATTACATTACAGCTAGTTGAGTGTAAAATTAAAGACATATTCTTTGTTTTTAGAAAGTATTAATGTAAATTTATATAGAGAAAAAACATTTATATCTTGTACAAATATCTCAAATTAAATTATAGATAAAAAACACATTTTATAAAAAATCTTTGTTTCTTTCTACTCTTACTATTCTTATTTTCCTTTTTAGGATACAGTATCATGTCATCAATTTAGCGAAGTTTTATTAAAATCTTAGCTCATTTAATAAATTCACGAATACGAAGATTAATATACCATTTAAAAAAATCAAATGCACATATAGTTTAAATATAGATAAAATGCCAATAGTTGGCGAACAAAGTTATTTTGTTGAAAATTTTAATTTAAGATTGATGATTGTATTATGCAAGTAATGCAAGATATATTAACGTATTGCAGAAACAAACTAAAAAATTATATTTATAGTCAAATTGTTCACCTGACTTGTTTATAAAAATAAAAAATATACATTCGAAATATTAATATTTTTTACGATACAGATCGACGCTGATGTATAATATTAAGTGAACAATTTGGCTATTAATATTATATCTTGTATATCAACTTTTAATTCTCTCATATTATTTTTATATCAATAACATAATTAATCATTGATTTTATACTTCAAATAGCACATCAAAATACAATTACAACAAAAGTTTTATGCACTTTTTAACT